GTTCAGGCCAAGCTGTTGTGTTGTTTTGTTTCAGTAAAGGCCCACAAATTTCTGAAGCAATTCTCCTAGTGACTCCTAGTGACATATATTAGTTTGAGTTGAAATCACACAGCGGGCAGCCATGAGAAAGTGTCAGTGCTACAAAGGTGGTACAGGTAGTTTGCATACTGTTTAGGACAGCACTATGGAAAGAACAAAGTGCTGGAAAGCGTTTACACGGATGTGACACCACTGCATCCACAGGGCTGCTTGCCTTAGGATGCGGAAGATGAGGTTACTAGATTCATAATTTGTTTGGGTGGGACCTTGGGAAGAAAACCCTCCAGACCTTTAAATACAACACATGAAGTACTCTGTGCCGAGGGATTGAGATGGCTTTTTATTTTGGTATTCTTTGCAGGTTGGATGTACACTTACTTAGTGTTGTTTTAGCTTCTTTTGAGTGAGGATTAAGAGACTGCTTCTCAAGGGCAGGGTACCAGGTTCAATTTAGCTTTAGCTAGTTCATGGCTATTGTAGCTAATGAAGTCACTGAGTGAATAATCACCAGGGACTGGAAAGTCTGAAGTATTTTCCCTATTGGGATGAATCAAAGAGATGTGGCGTATCTATCGGTTACATTCCCACATGAAGGACCCAGACGTGGTAGAGGGCTATAGTACTTAGCATGAAGCGGTGCTGTGCCGTCTTCTTGCTTCCTACAGTCACTGTTTGTCCTCTCCTTCACTTTCGCAAGGGCCCCTTCCTCTCTGGTCCGTGGAGTTTAGCCAGTTGCTGGCAAGGGAGGGCGAGTAAAGATAGAAATGAGGACGTTTATTCCTGAGACTCCCCAGCTGCTTGGTGCCAGCTCCGTCAGGTGTAAGGGTGGGGAGAGGCTCTTTTTGTCCCCTAACGTTCCCTGAGTAGCTCTGAGTACACTGTGCATTCCCTTAATCTTTCCCACTCCTGCATCAACAATTCCTTAATTACATTTTCCTCAGTGAACCTTTTTTGTGTAAGATCAATACACTGTCTAGACCCTAACTGATAACACATAATTGGAGCAACTAAGATTTTTTTTTACAACCTGGCACTTTGAACACTTAAAATTACAAATATAAATGATACTTTCCTACCCAATAATTTTCTAAAATTTACTCAGTGACTTTAGTCCCAAAACAATTCTGAACACATTAAGAGCAAATATGTCTTAAGAAGAATAATGCTATTCCCTATGTCACTGTGATTCTGAATCTTTGGCACAAAACGTTTGGCTGAAACTTCCATCACCTGGTAGCTTCTTTGCATTTGTATGGTCCAATTTGCTTTGTTTTCTTTCCTTTGATAAAAACAGGAGTGCAGGAGCTTATAAAAAGAATAATTACCTAAATTACAGAACTATTCCATCAGATGTAAGTATACAATACTAGCTAACTGATCTTTCTGAAAAAAAACACCAGAATAATTATTCAAATATAAATAAATATTAAAAATTATGGCTTGAGTATTTAACTTCTCTGCAATAAAGATATACCATTTGTAGGTGACTTTTAAACACATACGATTGCTGGGCTCCAGTGGCTCACATCTTTAATCCTATCTACTCAGCAGGCTGAGATATGAGGATCCTGGTTCAAAGCCAGGCAAGGAAAGTCCATGAGACTCTTATCTCCAGTTAATCACCAGAAAACCAGAAGTGGCACTGTGGCTCAAGTATTAGTGTGCTAGCCTTGAGGTGAAGAGCTGAGGGACAGCGCCCAGGTCCAGGGTTCAAGCCCCACAACCGACAAAAAAAAAAAAAAAAAAAAGGCAAGGAAAGAAAGCACTTGACATTTTTACCATCTCCTTTACCTATTCCAGAGCTTTCCAACTATGAAAGCTCATGGTTAACATTTCTCTTACAGGAAAGAATCACATTTATCTCTTCTGTATATTTTAATTACTTATCTTCTTTGGCACTATTGTTTCTCTATTGTTGTATTTATCATTTCCATTCTACTTCCTTTGGAGTTGTTTAGTTCTTTAAAGATTTCCCCCAAATAAATAGCTACTTACTTTATCTTTTAAAAAATAATAAATATTTATTCTGAATAAAATTGTATTATAAAATGTTGCTTTCAATTTGCCCTTTAAATAATATAATGCTCCTTATTATTTTCCTTCTGATTTTATAGATCTGAAACAGTATCTTACCTACTTTTACTGTCATTACATTTCTTACTATTATTTGATGTAGTTTTAATTTTAGTGAGCTATGATGAAAGAATGTGACCTTTTTATTTGTTGTAGTGTTTTGGGTTTTTTTGCTTTCATACTCCTGGGGACTGAATTCAGGTTGTACTTGCTAGGCAGACACTCTACCACTTGATTCATGCCTCCACACCCAAAAGAATATGACAATCTATATGATTGTCTTCACCTTCCAGCATCTGATAAAGTTTTGTCAAAATATTCTGTGCATATATATAATAAGTTTATAATGTTATTTGATAGATAAAACTTGAACATTTACTTAGCACATGGATTTGTTATTATTTTATTATCATTTTGGGGCTTGTGCCATCTCCTGAGCTTTTGTGCTCAAGGCTACATCTATACCACTTGACCCGCAGTTCCAATTCTATATTTTTGTGGTTATTGGAGGAGATTAGAGTCTCAGGGACTTTTCTGCCTGGGCTGGCTTCCAACTATGAGCCTCAGATCTCAGCCTCCTAAGTAGCTAGGGTTACAGCAGTGAGCCATTGGTGCCCAGTCTTATTTGCTGATTTTTAAATTCCAACATTTCTTTCTTTTCTAGCATCTCATCTATCTGGATTTAAATGTCTACAGTCATATTTTTCATCAACTTCTTTGAATTAATATCTAGCCTTTCAGTTTATGAGTTCATTTATACTTAGTAGATTTTTCACATCTTTGTAAGCAAAGGTAGTGTCACCAGATAATCCTTGTGTTTGACCTTGATGATTACTTCTGTATCAAATTCTAGTTTATTTCACACTCTGCATCATATTATATTTGCTAACACAATTTTTGTGTGTGCCAGTCCTGGGGCAGGGAGCTGTCCCTGGGCCTCTTTGGCTGAAGGTGAGTGCTCTGAAGTTTGAGCCATGACTTCACTTCCTGCTTTGTGGTAGTTTATTGGAGATTGGGGTCTCATGGACTTCAATCTATTATCCTCAGATCTCAGCCTCCTGAGCAGCTAGGATTACAGGCATGAGCCACTGGTGCCTGGCTTGCTGACACGATTTTATGTAACACTTCCATTTTGACACTGATTTCATTGTTTGTTTCTTTTACACACCACATGGTTATTTTGACACTTTTAAATATAAATTTTCATTCTTATTCTCCTTTTGTTGCTGCTATTGAGGTTTATACTCAAAGCTTTGGGCTTTGAGGAAGGTGCTCCACCGCTGAGCCATGACTCCAGCCCATTTCCGTGTGGGCTGTTTTTCAGTAGGATGTGATGTAGGACAGGTGTCTTCATGGATCTTCCTTTATGCTTTCTGCTGAAGCTGGAAGACAAGCCATGACACCAGCCCAGCTTTTTCTGTTGAGGGGGAGACATCTGACCTTTGCTGCCTGCCTGACACCAAGATCCTGTGGTATCAGCCTTTTGCCTAGCTAGAATGAGAAGGAGCTCAGTCGTCTGTGCCCAGCTTATTATTGTGAACTTTTTGCTGAGGCTGCCTTCAGATGTGATCCTCCCATTTTCAGCCTCCTGAATAATTAATTGGACAGGTATGAGCTATTGGGATCTGGCCTGAATTTTAATTCCTTTTAGATAAGTGTACTTATTTCTTGTTTATATATTATTTTATTCTTTCTTCTTTTCTCTGTACTAATGTAATTAAAGTTCTCTCTACTCCTAATTTTAATTAACCATTTTTTCTATTATTATATGAAAAATGAGGTATCTACTACCCTCCCTGACTGGAGGTATACTATTTAATCTTTGATTTGCTTACTTTCTAGTAAGGTGGGTGCATATGTTTCAAATATTAATTAAATAGGTTTTAACTGTGGTTACTGCTCAAAAAGAAACATAAATAATGATTTGGAGGGAGAAGTTCCAGTTGTGGGGCCTAAACTCTGGGCCTGGGAGCTGTCCCTCAGCTCTTCAGCTCAAGGCTAGTGCTCTACCACAGCGCCACTTCCGGCTTTTTCTGCTTATGTGGTGCTGAGGAATCGAACCAGGGCCTCATGCATGCAAGGCAAGCACTCTACTACGGAGCCACCTTCCCAGGCCTGAAAAAAAAATTAAGTTAAGGAATAAAATGCTTCAGTGAGTGTTGACGTAAAAATTACCAGGGTAAAGTATGCTTTATAATTTATATTTTAGCCATTTGAAGAATCTTTTAAAAATACGATCAGAGAATTTTATGGTTTATGAAATGAGAAAGAGCTCAAATCATTCCCTATACTGTTTAGTTCTAAGCTTCAACCACTGCATTTAAAAATGCATAATTAAGTGTATACAAAGAAATTTTTAAATATTCTATTGTAATTAACATTAAGCTGGTACTTCAAGGTTAAAATTCAGAAATGTGAAGTTTCAGAATACTACTTTATTACAATACTAAGTATTTAGTACATATATACATTATAGACTTCTTTTTCAGTTTTGTTATGCAACTGCAGATTTCAAAGATCTCTTCCAACAATTGTTGGTAGCAGTAAAAGAGTGATAGTGGAGTTTTAAGGCAGACATTGTGTTGATGAAACAAATATATGTGCGGAAAGTGTGGTGAGAGAGAGGGGGCTGTGACGTCAGAGAAGTATAATCTACTGAGAGCTGAGGGTGGAGTGAGATGAGCCAAACAGAGGGAAATGCGCCATCCACACTCCTAAGTCTGAGCTGCCTCCCATGAAAAAGATGTAGCCTTACACACAAGCAACATTTAAGTACAAAGCCCAACCCTTCACGTAGAAATGTAATAATCAAGTCAGCATTGTAAAATTTCCAAGACAGATGAGTGAATGGCTGTGAGTAGAAACCTGGTCATTGGCACTTGACTTACGTTCGCTTGTGGAGTAATCCTGGGGGTCCAGGATTCCCGACTCCTGCAGAGATCGAATGCAGGAATCCACAAGCTCCAGGCCTGTCGTAAGTTCATCTTCGATATCTTTTTGACCATCTGAAATAAGATAGTTTACAGTGATGGGATGTTACTACTCAGTTTCAGTTATCATGTAGTAATTAAAAGCATTCTAACTCAATCTACTCCTTCTGTGAGGGGTCCTAACCAAATACACCCCCCTCCGCAGGCCCCGTGTGGGCAGGAAGAACAGGGGGATGCAATCCCATGTGTCTGAGAGCATGCAGTGACCCGTGAAGTCCCCACAAATACCTTCGCTCACATCACTTTTACCATCGGGTTTCTCTCTGTTCACTTTTCTAAGTCTCCTAACGAAAGATGGCGAGCAGGGACACACGGAGCAGCAAACGTGGCCCTGGGTGGCAGCCCCTTACCTTGTGACTGCCAGTGAAACTGTTCTTCTGCTGAGCTGTAAAAGAGAGGAGAAATGCTGTAACGCATAGATTGCACAAGGAAACCAGGCTCACAGACCCTAGACCACAAGACACAAAGACACAGGAGCGGAGCAGCACGGGGCACACAGCATATCCCTTTTAATTCCTAACTGAAAAACAGGAACTCATAATGATATAACCTTGATGTCCATGCATTTGTCACATCTCCCCTTTAATTCACAGGTATACAGTATCAGAGGTGGACAATGTGCAGTGATTTTCAGGATAGCTTGTTTTTGAAAACAAATCCCATCCCACTGATTTTTTTCCTGACAATAGCATCTCCATGCATGCATTTGTAAGTGAATAATCTGAGAAATAATAAAGTAACTGAACGATCTGTTGTGCAGATTCTCTGAGGTGGCCCAATGAGGAAATAACTGTGCTTTATACTACAAAGAAGATAAAATGACTTTGCCTTCTTTGACATTTCCTAAGAATATTTCCTTTCAGTTGATGGTTATGGTTTAAATCATGTAATTTAAAAAAATAATATTATCACCAGCTGAATATACACTCTGAAATTCTTACCATCTACGAAATGAAGCAGCCAGAAAGCTATTCATACAGATGACATTCCAACATCATACAAACTGGATCTGTGAGGCAACCTAGTTTTATTCTGAATCATTCATTAAATATAAAAAAGGTAGATTTGAGGTCCATAAATGTGAACAACTTCCACTGTACATGCAGATCATCCCTGCATGCTGGCTTTTATGTCAATAATTGAGGCCTAGATGGAAATTCCTGACAAATATCATTTAGAGCCTGATTTTCTACACTTAATTCCCCAGATCTTTTTCTCAGTTCAAGCAGTTCCTATGAATAACCCATCAGTTCCTCAAAAGCAACTGCATTTTAGATCTTTAATCTGTACCTTGAAGGTGGTTTTTGAATACATTTGTGGGGGAAATTATTGATATAAATCAATGCTCAAAAACACCAAGATGGATGTAAAATGAATACAGAATTGTCCCTTAAGATATACATGGCGTTTATGCGGTGTCTTTCCTTTTGTGCCAATCCACTTAGCAAACTGGAAAAGGGCTCTCTTAATGGTAAGATCTATAGACAGAATTGATAGATGACATGTTAACTCTACAAATTTGGCCATATGTAACTGTCTTGCATGAAAAAAGATGTAACCTTATATACAAGCAACATTTAAGTACAAAGCTCAACCCTTCACATAACAATGCAGTAACAAAACCAGTATTTTAAAATTTCCAGGATAGATGCACTAAGTAAGGGGCATTGAGAATGAGACAATCCCATCTTAAAATTTAAGAATGACCCTAGGAATTCTGAATCCCAGTAATTGTGACTCATGTGCATCATACTGATTTTAGTCCTCTAAGGTTATTATGTATAATTTTTCAAGGATGTGATCTCTAGTGTGATTCTAGTGTCTAAATATCAATCTCATTGCTCGTTTTCAGAAGCCAGACTAGAGCACAAGAATACTGATTCTGAGAAATTCCTAGAGCTTGCTTACGTCACTATCATCCCTAGCTCATAAATGTATGCATGTTAGGCCCCCACAGAACCTGACAAGATCAGAAAATCTACAGGGTAGGCTGGGAATCCGTAGGGAATATCAACCTTCCAATATGGTCCTTGTGTGCCGATAACACTACATGTGATTTTCATTAATGATCTGCCAAGAATTTCAAACAGCCTGAACGTTATTCTTCCATTTCTTAAAGCAGGCCACCTTCTAAGGCGGCCTGACACTCCAAGTGTGTATCTGCCATGCATTATTTTTGAGGGCAGGAAATATTTCACATTGTAGTAGACTGAAGAGTGTTCTTCTGGCCTCAAGAAATGAGTCTATATCCCAGGCTTGAAACCAGCTGTTAGCTGGTAGGTTGAGATTCAGATTTTGGTGGTCTCAGGCCAAGCGTGGTGGAAAAGTCCAGCAGTCTATCTCCATAGAGAAAGGCTGGATGCCTGGTGAACATGTGATCCCAGCATAGACAGCAAATACATGCTCAGGGACAAAGTCATGTCCAACTCAAAAGTCACTTGAAAAACAGGGCTGGAGGTCTGACTCTGAGGCTGAGCACCTAACAAGCAAGCATGAGGAGGAGGGCCTAAGTTCAAACCTCTGGATCATAAAAACAGAAGAAAAAACCTACAACAAAGAGCTACAACTTTGAACCTGTGCAAAGTAACTTTTTCAGATCTAAGTAAGTTAACAGTCTTCAGATGAGCTCATTGGAGTTTCTAAATGCAAAGGCGAATGTTTTTACAAGAGATCAAAAAGAGGTCAAAGACACAGGAGGGATGCCTGTGAAGAGATGGAGGCAGAATTGCAGGGATTCAGCACAAACCAGGGCTTGCTAGGAGCCATCAAAACCTGCAGGAGATACAGATGGGGGCTCCTTGAACCTTCAAACCTAATGTCTCCTTGATTTGTAACAGCTGTAAGAGAATAAAGTTGTATTGTTTTCAGCCACTCAAATGTATTCTGGGTGTCAGTTCCAGGAAACTAAAATAGTGGGGTTTTTTTCCTGGTACAATAAAAAAATACTTTGCCAGGTACAGGCTCACACCTGTACTACTAGCTACTCAGGAGGCTGAGTTCCAGGGATCAAGGTTTCAAAGCCAGCTTGAGCAAGAAAGTCTCTTATCTCCAATTAACCACCAAAAACCTGGAAGTGGAGTTGATATGAAAGTATGAGACACATACGTCTTGTTCATCTCATTGTTGCAATGGGTCCACCTGTATCCCTATTTAAACAATTTGTTTTTTCCCTTCCCCTCCACAAATTATACCGACATCAAATACAGGGGGGAGGGGAGGAAGAGGAGGAAGTAGGGAACGGGGAGGGGAGATAGGAAGGATGGGAAGGGGAAACAAAGGAGGAGGCAACAATGCTTGATAAGAAATGTACTCATTACCTTGCTCATGTAATTGTAACCCCTCTGTATGGTATTTTTTTTGGTTCCAGTCATGGGGCCTGAACTCTGGGCCTGGGCGCTGTCCCTCAGCTTTTCAGCTCAAGGCTAGCGCTCTACCACTTGAGCCACATCACCACTTCTGGCTTTTTTTTTCTGCTTATGTGGTGCTGAGGAATTGAACCCAGGGCCTCATGCATTCAAGGCAAGCGCTCTACCACTGAGCCACCTTCCCAGCCCCTCTGTATGGTATTTTCACAATAAAAAAAAGAAAGTATCTGAGACATAGATGTGATCCATATTTATTAAATGAATAAATAATTGCCTTTCTTTAACACATGTATCCTACAGAAATTTTAAGAAAAGGAATCAACTGAACAAAATGTGAAAATTCATGGAATCCCTTAATAGGGAACAGAAAGTGAACACGTAAAAAAAAATAAACTCAAAACCAGCTTTCTTCGAGGACTTCTGTTCCCTATGATCAGTTTTTTTTAGTGTATTTTTAACTTGCAGAAAGAATCAAACAAACAAATGATTAGTGCTTCTATCTGCCCCAAAAGAAGATGCATCAGCTCTCAGAGGAGGGTTTTATGTTGTCAATGGTGTTATTTCAGTTGTGATATAAAATGTTTCTTGTTTCTGTTCAATTATAAAATTGAAATACTCTTGAAAGAGATGAAGAGAAAAATAAATAGTATGTAATAGGGCGATCTGGAAGCCTATACATGAATAATCACCTGTCCTGATAGATGAAGAGAGAAATCCTAATGGAGACAGAGAGAGAGAGAGAGAGAGAGAGAGACAGAGAGACAGAGAGACAGAGACAGAGAAAGGAGAGAGGTAAAGAGAGGAGAGAGTGCCTAAAGATTGAGCGCAGAACTTCATGCATGCTAACCAGATGCTCTACTGAACTCTGTCTCCATCCCACATGACCAAACATTTGAGTGTGGCACGGTTTCCTATTTTATAAAATAAGATAAAAGGTGCCAAGGAAGTTACTGGATGCCCTTGGCAGAGGAGCTGTAGAGCTGGCATTATGATTGGGCTTCGGGTTCTAAAAATCCAAACTTTAAACTTTTCTAATCACATGTTTAGCTGCATCAAAATTAAACATCTATATAACTTAAAAAATAACAATATAAAGCAAGTTGAAAAGCAAGCCATGTTCTGAGATATGTGTTATGCATATAATTTACAAGAGGATAATTTCTAGAACATAAAAATAACTTGAAAATCCTTAATTATAGAGACTTAAAATACCAATCAAAAGAGAGGTCAATGAATGTGCATAGCTAACACATAATAGGAAAATCAATAATCGACGGTCGCTAAGCACATGAAAAGAACTGGAATAAAAATCAAACACAACATACTTTGCTGTACATTTCAGATAGTCATAGTTTTAAAATCTGACAGGACTAAGTTGCTGGGAAGATATAGGAAAATAATTCTCATGTAGTGCTTCAGGAAAGGAAGTTAATTAGAGAAACACCCGAGCAAACTATGATGCAGTCTGGTAAAGCTATACATGTGAACATTATTTGGAAGAAAGACAAATTGGGCATATCCTGATGTAGTTCTCAAAAACCAACTACACAGTGAAACAATTCAAGTTTCATTTAGATTATATGTTGCAAGGTCTTTATTATGTGTATTTAATTAATTTGTTATTAGTATTTTCTTGTTGGTCATGGGGCTTGAACTCAGAGCCTGGGCACTGTTTGTTCCTGACCTCTTTTGCTCAAGGCTAACACTCTACCATTTTGAGACATAGCACCAATTCCCAACTATGTGAATTTTAATAACATAAACTGGGTTATGTTATACATGAAAATACATACATAAGTTACATTACAGATAGAAATGAGGAAACAGAGAGGAAGAGAGAACATATAACCAAATTGCATTGGTGCTAGACTGGTTTAAGAAAAGGAATGAGCTAGGGGAAGGGTTATAAAGGGAATTTCACTTTGATTGGAATGTCTTATTTTATGAAAACAGACAGATGAAGGACCCAAAGTTAGTAGTCCAAACCATTAACGTTAATTTAATAATATCTTTGCTATTA